CACATTTATGCAAAACAGTATTTTTAAGACTTAGAGGAACGTCTTTTAAAAAAAGGTTGAAAAACTGTTATAAGTTGTAATAAAATTTTAACAATCACTATATTTCATTAAACATATTTAATGATAATAATAAAAAAAAATTTATGAGCTTTATGAATAAAAAATATAAATGAATACCAAAGCCAAGATAGAGAGAGAAATTCCATACTTCATGGAAAAAAAATTAATTCAAGCCTATTTGCAACTATTTATAATATAATACGCCAAACAAAATACAAAGAAAGTTATAATAAGGAAAAGTATTACTTGTTTAATACATTTTCTTAAGAAATACTGTTGTTTTATGTTTTAAAAATTTCTTGTGCAATAATATCTCATAAATCTTTTGTAATCATAAGTTTAGGAAGGTTTACATAACAAGCACTTCTATCTACTTTCGATAGTTTCTTTAAAACTTTTAAAATTTAATTATACTGAATAACTAACAACTTAGAAATTCTTGTATTCTGTATTAAAAAAAAACCTTTTATTTAATGCCTGTAGTAAGGAAGCATAAATCTTTAAACTCAGTACACATTAATATTTATTTAGAAAGGCACTTAAGTAGTAGTAAAATTTGGTCTTAGTAGTAAAAAATAGACTTTAGAGAAAATTATCTTAAAAGTTGGGTATGTCCATTATTTTAAATTGATGACATAATAAAGTAGCCCTTAGTCAGTATCTAACCTTTAATACTTAATTAAATATTTAATTCAATAATACCATATCTAATTTTACAGCATAATTTAATTTTCGGATTGCCTCAATCCTGAATTTTATGAAAGATTGCCAAATAAAAAATAAATGCTATCAAATCTTACGCCGCAAAAAAATTTTTCAACAATTTTTTTCTAATAAACTTAAGTTTAATGTTTAAGATTAATTTAATTAATACTGAGTATTGAACATACAAAATTAAAAGGAAAACATATTACGAAGTAAATAATTAAGCTATGAAATATCATTACCTATTAATAGATATACCACAAAGAAAACGTAGTTTTCTAAGAAGGAGAATAGTATTATAGCATACAGTACATGAAAGACCTAGTAACAAAATTAGCATTTTGCATGAAAAGTTTCATTTGGTCCGTTCCATTTGTATAATTTTTAAATATAATCGACACGTACTCTTTTTTTTTTTAATTAAAAACTTTACAAGATATAGCCTCTTTAAGATTTTCTATTTTTTATCGCTATATATAAATGTTCCTTGCGTAAATGACGTTATAATAAAATCTGTGAAAAACAGTCATTTCGATTTTTTACTATAAAGTTATAATATACAATTAAACTGAAAAGCCCCTAATATTTTCATTCTAATTCAAGTATTGATCATCAATGAAATTTAGTAAAGATAGGTGAGTACGGTAAGAGGAGCTACTGATGTGTTTCTAAAGAAATTTATGTGACCTTACTTTATTGGAAAAAAATTTGTGCCTTAAAAATCAAGAAGTTTTTAAATATTGAAACGTAATAAATTTTGAGCTTTCGTATTTCTTAATATAAATTATATCTATTTTGATTCAGATGTACGTTAACAAAAGATTGTTGTGGCCACATTTATTGTAGTGAAGGACATGCGTAATACAGACTTAAAAGTATCCAACTTTCAAGAACACTGAGTGTGAATACCTAGAAGCTAAGGATTATATCCTTAACACCAGAACTAATGAAGTTTAATTTTTTCGAAGTCTCTTAGCTTTACTTTTGAGTGGCATTATTACCATATTATAATATAAAATCCATGATGACCTGCGTAAAAATTCTAACAGCACTTTATACTTTAGATACTAATTTTTACAAGACTGACATACTATATTTTTACAAGTATTACCAAATACGGTCAAAAGTTTATCCAAAGTATCCAGACGTGTAGCAAACTATTTTTGCCAAAC